TTTTTTTTTTTTTTTTTTTTTTTTTTTTTTTTTTTATTAAAAGCTTGGGCTTGACTATTCATGGGTGACAGTATTTATTTTAACACTGTCAGACCTGTCAGTAACTAACCCCTTTTCCATCGTTATTATACAGTGATTGGAGATGAATGGAAGGTGTGTTAAGGCTTATACAGTATAGGATCAGTGATTGTCCACCACTAATGTAGGAATATCGGGGGTAAAAAAAAAGTCAGTCTCTACAATCTCTAGAGGAATAGGTGCTCCTACACCTTGTACTAACCCTTTTTAGGCAGATTTAATAAATTCTCTTGGCTTTGCTGTACATAGTTACATTCACATATTTAAGGTCAGTGGTTTGGTAGGTGCGATGTACAGAATTTCTTTCTATGTGCTGCTCCTAAGATGCAACAGTAGCTCGGTCAGTTTCCACTTTGTACACCATTTGTTTTCTTTGGTAGCTGTTGATAAATGACGTGTTTTGGACCCCAAACTTTTTTTCTTTATACAGTTCTACATCTGGCTTTCTTCATTTCATCTATGTATTGGGTGGAGCATCATTCATGCATCATTTTTAGGTGTACTTAACAAGTCTAATTTTTTCCAGTAAGGAAATTAAGATTTCTGCAATTCAGTTTTTAATGTGTGATACAGGATACTTTTTATATTCCTATATAAATATTATCTAAATTATTAGTGACTTTGGGAAATCAGGTACCCCTAGTTGTAGGAAAGGTTTCATGTGGTGCCAGTTAGGCCCCCTCATTTCTACTTTACTGTAATATATCTAGTACAAAAAATATATTGCCTTTGTCAATTTGGACTTGCTTTTGTTCAAAATAAACATTTTAAATACAGATTGGGTATGGTGTTTCTTGAAGCCACTTCAGTATTTGCAGGTTTTGAAATGTTTACGATGAATGCTTCTTAATAGGGCTGATCATTGACAAGCAGACAGCACCCAGGGAATAATGAGGTGCTTCTGAAGAAATGGAACCCATGCACATGAGAAATTGGAAAAGCGAATGCTTCAGACTACATAAGGTGTCTATTATCATGGTGAGCTTTTGAGAATAATGAACACTGACTTAAAATGGACTTGGACTCAAAGTGAAGATTTGCTATGTTATGGGGAACAGTTATAATAATTATGTCTAAGCAGAACCCTGAAAAAAAATGTAATGTTTTGTCTTGAATTTCTTCTTAAAGGTGCCTTTCATGGGATGTGATGGTGCCTGTGGCCTCATAGCCATATATCTGTTGTGTGAATCTAAGGTATTGCTGCCTGGCATGGGATGCAAAACCCTGTCTCCACCAAGATGGCCACCACAAAGAGAACTAGGCATAAGTCAGTAATGGGGCTTAGTTTGACTGACTGCAGGAAGACCACATGCAATACTACCGGTAGTAACTTGTTCTTTGCCCCTTTTTTTAAATGCCTTCTATTACTGGCCCTGACTTTTGCCCCCCACCTAATGACTAGACCCTGGCGACTTACTGTCCAGTGAGACTTTTAGTGGCCAGTAACGGCACTCACATTTGACACTAGACAACCAGTAGGTGGAGCTTTTCTATGCTCCTCTAAAATGACTACCTCGTCTGCTCTACAGGATTTGAGATGGAAGGCATTCGAGCGATTATCATCTCACCAAACTGGCCCAGGCGGACGTGGGTCTAGTACTTGGTCAAACTACTGGCACTCTCCAAAATGTTGCTGATCTTCTGTCCAAAGGAGTAGTGTCCCATCTTGCTGCTAGGTTGCTGTATTTTACAACTTGTTGACGCCTAGGTCCTGGGGGATTGGGCCTATCTGATTCCATTGCCCCTACAGTCCTAAAAGTTAGGAAGTCAATTTATGTAGAGTCTTCCATCGTAATTGGAAAGCATTTTTCACATGATGAAAAGCAAGGATAATTCATCCCAGGAAGTATTCCATCCATGGGACAACTCTCTTCTCCACTCTGGCATAGATTCTCTTTCAAAGGCCACATACCTCTCACTCCTTAGTGAAAGCCTTTGGATGGGGTTGCTGATGTTGTTCCCCTCTATATTCTTTTGTGACTCTGTGTGATCTCCTCTTCTGATGATGGTTCTCCAGAAACTGCCATTTGAACCAATCAGGGGCATCTCCCTCTCCTTGCACAAGGTTGCCTTCCTTGTGGCTATCACTTTGGCGGGGCAATTTTCTTGCCTGATGGCTTTTGCCTGTTAAGTACCCTTCATTGTGCTTCACAGAGGTTGTCTTGAGGCCCGTGGTCTCTCTTTACACCAAGGTGGTTCTTTTCACCTTAACCAGGACATCGTTCTTCCATCTCTGTCCTGCTCCTTGTCATCCCAGAGAGATTTCCCTCCACTGGTTGGATGTGGTACACGCTGCTATTTTGCAGCTACAGTTTTCTTTAGACAAATGCTGGAGCATGAAGCCGGCTTCCGGGCCAATCAGAAAGCTGGGTGCTGAGTCATTACACTGCGCCCGGCTTCCTGATTGGCCAACTTCCCGACCAATCAGGAAGCTGGGCAGCGCGTCATTACATGCTACCCGGCTTCCTGATTGGCCGGGAAGTCAGCTCCATGCTCTCGTCACAACTGATGAGGGAGCATGGAGCCGGCTTCCTGATACAGGAAGTATCGGGCTAGGCATTTGGGCGCGTATGAGTATTTGCCCAAATACTTGGTATCGGTGCATCCCCTGTGTTTAGTCCTTGGACAAGTAGTAAAAAAAATAAAAAATAAAATTCCACCCCCTTGTGTCTAAGTCATGTCTAAGCTGTAGATATTGATAAAATCAAGTACCCGGCAAAGCAAACTCTTAATAGTTGAAAGACCTGAACTCTCACTGAGTAAAGTTGAAAAACTGTATAAAAAAAAAACCCCCAACTTACACACATCCTTTAAGGATTTCTTATGCCACAAAGGAGTGAATGTTCTGAAAGACCTAAAGCTAACTTTACCGTCTGCCAGAGCTAACACTATTTTAATATGAGCTAAAGAGTGAATTAGGGGGGTGGCAGAGGATCCAATAGAAGTAACTGGCATTTATCCCAGTTAATCCGCAGCCCTTAGTAATCACCAAATTTTTTTAATTAAGGAGGCTCTAGTGTCAGAGAGGAAGGCAGCCTGTGACTGCATCATGTAAATATAGGTGGAGGGGTCCTCGATCTTTCCCAATGAGGAAGTCACAGGCCTCTAGAACTCTGGAGGTGGCTCCAATGTTGCAATTTTGCTATAAGCTTTCTATGGCCACTGCAAAATCTGCTTTCTCTAAGCCAGATGGATGAGATATTCCTACTGGGTCTCTGGGTCTTCCCACGATATATTGCTGCAATATAAGCTATTACTTGCATTGTCACATATCAACTCCACACAATACTTGGCCCACTCTGAATAGGAATTCTCAATCTTTCTGCATAGCACAACTTCAAAATTCTCTCTTGACCCACAAGACTTCCATCAACACTAATAGCAAGCCTTAGAGAGTAATTTAAAGCTTCTTGCCCAATGGTAAAACTAAATGGGACTTCCATACCTCTCTGTTGTGCTAGAGGTGTGGACGGGCCCTGGGCACTCCTCCATATGTGGTGGCACAGTCCTGATAAAACCTTTTGGGTACAGATGAATCATTTAAGAACAATCAATAGTGTTAGTGCAGTAACCATTTTTACATGTTCCTCCACCAGTTCAGTAATGACCTATGCACAGATCATATAAAACTGGGGCAACAAAAGTCAGTCATGCACTTCCCTGCCACCAATGGTTGCTTTTGATGAAGTTTGCCAACGTCACACCTACCTCACCCACCTTTCCTGTCACAGTACTTTGCCAATTGGGTTCCAGTTTTGCAGAAGCATATTGGATAAGTGTATATAGTCTTCATGATCAAACCACATGACACAACAACAGAAAAGCAAGATAATATACAATTGGGTTATCACAACACACAGAATGCCATCACTGCTAGACAAAGTCTACTTTATATAGAAAATAAATAACATAATAAAGTAGAAAATCTGCAGAATGACAACACTGGAAGCTCTGACACAAAGACATTAACAAACTTTGCATATATCTTAAAGAATCGGTCTACCCAAAACAGGTCTTTCAGTTTTTGCTAGATGCTGGAGCATTAAACCACCTGACAAATTCCAATATCCCTGTTGGGGGCTTACCAAACTCCCAGGTAGATAAGAGTCAGTAAACGGCAGGGAGCTATTGCAGCTGAAGTGTCCATAATACGTCAGCTGCCTTAGCGGATTACATTCCATGACATTTAGGTGGACTGACCTTAAAGTAAACTTGTTACAAACCTGAGCAAACTAACCAGGTTATACAAATTATAAAAGGCAGCAAAAGTTCTATGCCAACCTTGACATTTCCTATCAAACTTGGCCTTGTCCCTGCCTATTGCTCAAAGAAGCTGTCACACTTTAGACCAATGGAGAGGCTTGTGACAGGGTGGAACCCAGTACAACATGTACAGGAAAAGCCAAGATTTGTATACAACTTCCTCTGCCTATCTAGCCGGCCCTATAGATTATATACAATGCAGTTTTTGTTACACACATGCTCAGTTTGAACTGTCCAGTATTGTGGCTGCTTTACTTTAAACCAGTAGCACCCAGCCATGAGTTCATGAGGCTCAGTCACTCCAACATCTGTGCTGCACTGAACACTCCATTACTATAAATATCCTTTTCTCCTCTTGATAACGGAAGGAAAACCACAAGATTTTATTAAAAAGTCCTATTCAAATTCTTCCAGATGCCAAACTCCCGTCACTATTGCCCACATTGTAGTATCCACTTGTTATCTTGGCAGTACAGCTTATTCTGATGGGTTAGCTTTGTGAATGTGGCCCTTGAATCTTTAAATGTAATGAAGCTACATAGAAGTATACCAAGAAATGATTATTTACACACCAGGGATCAATTTATTATTGCTATCTGCAGCCGTGATAGACAGAGGACTGTGAAGCACACCTGACTACCTCAGTCATGGCAGGACTGCAGGGTGACCAAAGGCCACTATGTACAAGAAAGAGAAAACAAAAGCACGTGCTACAACAGAAATGCTGAAATGTAAAGTACTGCCATTTCATACACCACAACATGTCTCATCAATTTTCATCTATCAATGATTAGGGATAGCAAGCCGTTGTAGAAAACACTGCTTGTAACAGTGACTGCAAATGATCACTGATGTGGTAGATGAATATAGATTGGCACATTAACCCAAGCTGGTCTGATTTTAGATGCATCAGCTAGACATTGTATACCAAGAATTTCACTTCAAGCCCAATAAAACCCTCTTTATTATTTACTGTAATACAGTCAGCATGTGTTTACAGTATGCCGCTTTTTTTTTTTTACATCTGCTAAGTGTTGCAGCAAGAGTTAGAGACTGTGCTGGGAGCACTAGGAGAGTCGGACTGCCGCTCTCACACATGAACAACAGCCCAGCAACCTGACCCAATGAACATGACTCTAATCAGCACTATCAGGGGTTAGAGCAATGTTGAATAGAACAGTGTTCAGTAGAGAATGTCAGAGCGCTGGAGAACCAGGCCACTGCTTATGTGCGAGAGTTACATGATGGCAGAACAGGGTTTGTTTGAGCAATTCTGCAGCATATTTACTACTTTGTATGGAACCTGACTGCATTACAGTAATAAATGAAGAGGGTTCAACTGGGCTTTAAGAAACTTACTCAATTCCAATTTACACCCACATCATATTGTATTGATTAGGGCTCCAAGCACAGAAACTAGACCAAGCATTTTGTTATGGCAGGCAAATACTTAACTGGTATGTACTTACCATGGGAGTACATTTGGCTTGGGGTGATTATACAGAAATGGCATCAACAAATGTATTATTTTTACTTTACAATAAATATACATTTATTCAAGACACTTGCATAGCATCGTACCCGAATGCTACATGAGTTTGTAAATTCAGTCCTGGTGCAGTTCCAGCACCATCCAGTAATCCCATGGCCGCTCTAATTCTAGAACAGACTCAGGAAAAACTTGGCTGGAAGATGTGATGATATTCCTTAGTGTCTAAAAGTAATCTGACATCTTGTAAAAAGTGCACAACTCTAGTGTCCATGGCAGTGTCCAGAATCCAGATCCAGGCCTTCTACTACGGTGACGGTCAACTGGAAGTTGGGAAGAAGTCTTCAGTCTTGAACACTAGTGGAGGCTCAGAACGGACCTGCTGCGTCCTTGGAGGTGTTGTTGCTTTCTGAATAGAGAAAAGCAAATAATGGTCACAGCCCTCCTAGTACAGTACCTGTGCTCTATATACCTCTATAGAACACACAGTTGGATTGATATGTTACAAAGTGTCTACAATCCATCTACTTAATGCTGCTAGGGCCTTTGGAAAAACAAGCTAATTCTCCTCAAGTATCCTTTGGTTGGATAATGCTTAGAAGACTATGGCACTAGAGGAACTTACCACCTACCTCAAAAATGGGGAAGACAAAGTCCAAATAATATGTCCCATCTGGCTTCACTTTAAAGTACTTCACAATATAAGCTTCCCCAAAAACAATGGCTTGGATATAGCAATTGCTATACCAGGACTCAAAATTTCCACTCACCCCCTCGCAATTGGCGAGTGGAAATTCATCTGAGGAGGGGGAGCCGCCAGCGGGGTGAAACTACCGTCGCTTCTGCAGCTGCGATCGAGCGCTTCAGTTGTCTTCTGTGGCCGGAGTGAAGGGAAGACAGCTGCACTGATTTGTCTTCGCGGCTGCTCCAGAGTGAGGAGCGGCAGAAGAGGAGAAGAAGAATCAGTTCGTCGGTCTTCCCTTCACTGCAGCCACCTGCAGCTTCCTCCCCCCACCTCATCTGCCATAGGCTGGAGGAAGACTGCAGCTGCTATTGGCCAGCAGGACGTTTTTGCAGCGCGGGACCTGAAGAATACATCTCTGTACCCCCCACCCCCCAGCGCTAGTACCACCACCAGGAGAGGAAGAGGGCAGATCAGCTACATGCACTGTAAGTCCTGTTCCTGTCTTACACTGCTGACCTCTGTGTGTTAAATTGCTGACCTCTGTACTGCTGACCTCTGTACTGCTGACCTCTGTACTGCTGACCTCTGTACTGCTGACCTCTGTACTGCTGACCTCTGTACTTTGCGTCACACCGCTGACCTGGCGGAGTTAAGGGCGGGGCACGGTAGGGGTTAGGTGGGGCAACTGGTGGTGAGTAACTCTTAAAGCCTGGCTAGTAGCTCAGGGCCTGACATTTTGAGCCCTGCTATACTATATGGTATTACTATATTAACAAACAAGCAGAGAGAGAGAGATGGGAGAAGGACATTAGAGAATTGTATGTTCGCCGTTTCGGACGTTTAAAAAAAAAAAAAAATGAATATGACAGGAGGC